TACAACAGTTATAAATTTCCAAAATATTAAATATAAATCAGGAAAATTGGGTAAGTCACTGTTGTATAATAAGTGTTGAGTGACCCTAATCATTATTGAGAATTAATAATGGATGTGCTATTAACTGGAATTTAATGATAGTTCATTGGAACGAAAAACGAATACAGAAGGCAGTCAGCCTATATATTATTCATTAAGAATACTTTATTATATATTTATATTACTATTAGTAATTAATTTTTTTATTAATAGTTTGAAATACGTTTTATCGAAAACAAATCATATAAGTAATACCTATATAATAATGATTATTGATTAGTGATTACTACAATATTATTTCATATAGCCGTTATTAACTTCCTTATAAGGCGATAGGTACTATACTGTCCTGCAGAATGGTATTTGGAATATAAATAGCTTAAAAATAACCTAAATATTTTTAAAATATCACTGTGAAGTCCCTACAAATAATATATGTTTGAATTAACTTCAAGTATAACTTATACATTTTTATAAAAATATGAGTTTATAACTACACACCAATTTTTAAATTATTTTGATATTGAAGAAATTGGTAAATTTGAATAATAAACTATTTATTTTTGACATCTTATTCCTGTAAGATCCATCCAAAGAGAAACCGTGCACTTATCGTGCTACACATGAGATTTTCTAAAGGTGCATAGAAAAACGGCATTTTTCAACACTGGGTGCTTATCGTTTTTCAAAACATAATAATTATTATAAGCATTATTTGTTATAAAGTATTTTATTGTAATATTTATATTTATGTTTATAGCAAAATAGCTTAAATACATTATATACCTGGACATACGTTTCTAAGGAAAACAAGTTTTATACTTTTGTACTTTATCTATTCCATTTTTTTACAGATATTGTTCATTCTATTTATTTTTAGAACAAAGCACAGTTTTAGCTTCAATCCAAAAATAATCTTCTAAATGTAATCCATGAAATGCTAGTCTGTTGTTAAACAATAAATTACGCCATGCAAAAATTTAATTAAAATGCAAATAATTAAAAATTGAAAGTAACGATTCGCATTTAATTTGTAGGAATACAAATAATATACTCGCTTAGCCAGCTAAACACATTAGAGAAGTAGGTCAATTGATTTATTTTCTATTAAATTATAATTGAATAAGAGATTATCGAGACACTATCGTGATAAGATTATATAAATTTTTATTTTCATTTTTTTTTGTTTTTATGTACTATTGTCATTCCATTGCTCTATATTAATTTAAAATTAAACATTTTTTTAGATAATCTTTACAAATAATTTACATTTAAAGTGAAGCATTTTAAACGTAGGTGCCTATTTATGAAGACATATTATAGTTAAAGTAATACGTTTTAACAATGATCACAACGCAGGAATTAATTTAGAGTGATGAATAAGGTAGGTATTTTATTTAAATTGTTTATGGATTTAAAATAATTTAAATCACCAATATAAAACTATATTCAATTATTCCAAGTGAACAATTTAATTTTGAATTAAATTGTAATACAATAAAAATAAATACACAAATAAAATAAAATAATTATGCAGTGATAATTTTAAAAAAACCACAGATTGTCATGAAATCTGGGCAGAAATTACAATTTATTCATATTCGTAGGTATGTCATTCATTAATATTTTATACCTACATTTTCAGGTATAATTTAAATTAAAGTCTATTTTGATGGCACATTAGGTATGTAATAATATCTGTGTAAGGGGTATTTGAATAATTGGGTTTTAAGTTAATAATAAACACAATTTTTAAATAACTCTCATACACGATTTTAAACAGTGAAAATTATTTGCAAAACATTTTAAATGTATATAATATAATATTATATAATCTATAATAGTAAGATATATGTATATAAAGAAAAAACATTATATTATCGAAATGTTACGTAAATCAAATTTGAAACCTTAATACGAATTTCGAATATTGTCGACAGTACTCATACATTTTATTCTCGTTTCAATTCAAGCCGTCATGACAATTTATGTCAATAGCTTCGAGTTTATTTTTATACATAAAACCAGYGAAAAACAATAACATTTTACTAGTTAACAAATTATAGTGCTATATTAGGTATAACGAAGGCAATAAAATATAAGACACGATATATTATTGTTGTCGCACTTGTTTACGAATAATAAGACATTTATTCTATAACGAATTCAATACCCCAAATTAATAACTTAGTAGGTCGACATTGTTAAAGAATAGAAAGAAAATGATCGTTGTTTTTTACGAATTCGGCACCCACATGTTCTGGTTTAATTTTTTCGAATCCAGATTAGTAGTATAATGATAAATAATATCCCAGATAAATAGCCAGGGTATGTACTACGTACTGACCGTACTGCTATGACTAAATTATGTTTAGTTCGATGTCAATACCAAAATGTGCATAAATATGTTTTCTGGTCAATTTTGACCTTAGTTTAAAAATTATGCGGAATATTCCCGTTAACTAAAACAAACGATGCCAAAATAGTCATTTAGCCACTCTAAATGACAATTTGCAAGGTTTGGTCAGGTATATGGTTAAAGTTATTATTGTTGTATTTACCGTCCCGAGGCAATTAKAATTAACAAACATTTTCAGTTAATTAAAAACATACTTCCTCGCTTTGCTGGTAAACGGCGTTATTATGATATAAMGTTGGTAAAATCTAAATACAATAGGTCAATTGGGCAACGTTACGCCCACAGAAAAAGGGGTAGGGTAATATTTTAAAAGCATTTTTCATATTATAATCAAATAATAAGAATTATAATTTTTCAAAAAATATGGTTAAGATAGCGTTTTCTTTGTTATTTTGTTAACTTATGTTACGTTTTAATAGTTAAATCGATAAATAGTCAATCACAATGGTGTCAATATCTGTATAAAACTGACGTCATCGTATCATTACAACCATCGAAATAAAACTACGGGGATTTGTATTTAGTAGAAATAGTTCAACAATATTAAGAAAAATATTACTTGTAAACATTTTAGGTTTTAATTATATAAAGTTAATAAGATTCATGTATTTTTTTTTTAATATTGCGCAAATAAGCAATTCCAATTAAATACCGTTAAAAAATGCTCACAACTAAAATTGTAGAGATAATTAGATGGAAAAACATAAAGTAATTAAATATACAAGAATATAATTTAACGCATATTTATTTTTATTGTAAGCAACCTTTATATTATATTAAATAATTGTTGAAACTAATTGTAATCACTGCAACATTTAAATAAAAAAACAAAGTACCTAATAATAATAATTTAATATACCCCAAAACGTTTCACTTTCAAAGAATAATAGAAATAGAAATCCATTTAGTAGAATCAATTAATATAATAATGTATGTGTTTTATTTCAATATTTACCAGTTAAGCGCACTTGTATTACTTTTATTTTTGTAATAGATCTGCGGYGACTTTAAGACTGTTAAGACCATAATGTCAACATATATTATGTTAACATATTATTAGTTAGTAACATTAACTAATGTTTATTAGTAATAAATATTAATTTATGTTCAGTAACATTAGTAACAATAGTTTGCGTAAACAGGATGAAGAAAATGTAAATTTTTGGATCTATCAAAAATGTGGTCCTACATTTCAAATAATTTCATAACAATTCATCAAAAATACAGATTGAGAACGATTATATGATTAAATAATTAATCCAAAACAGAATTTTCAATTAAAAAAATAGTATTAATTAAAAGTATTGAAAATACTTATCAAAATAACACTGAGTTTTTAAGAGACGTGCATATTATATACATTAAACTTTTTACATGAATATGTCTACATTAATATATTTGTTCTTATTTAAACAATTTAAATGTTTTCATAAATATAGTTTTTTTTTTTATATAATAACTATTATGCATTGTCGAACATACACGATGACGGGTCTATTATAATACATATTATCAATGATTGTTAATATCAATGATCAATGACACTAAATTCTAATATATCCAATTCTTCATTATGGATAGATATAATACTCATTTTTAAATATATTCTATAGGTATCTAAATAAATAGTATAAACACTAAACTTTATATTGTATATTATATTATACTATACATAATAAATGTGATGTCTTTTATTTTTTTTTCCAAAATTACTTTTATTATTATGAAATGAATACAGGGTTCTAACTATTGTTATATTTCAATACGCTACGAATATTTCATTTAAGTCATGGATAGCGATTCCATTATTCTTATACGAGTTAAAGATATTTCGGAACCGGAGGCTAAGTGAATACATAAATTTATATTACTGATAAACAGTGCATATAATGCGTTCAATGTTAGAATGTTTGACGATAAGTACAATAACGTTGAACTTTCAGATTTGTATTCAATGTAGGTATATATGTGGGACGAGGAAACGCATACAAATTTACGTAACTACGCTCAGAAGACGATGAGTTCCTTATTGATGTTACCATTACGGCAATAGATGTACTTATTTGTAAATGCATTTTTCTTTTATGGAAACAGTTAAATTGAAAACGATTTATAGGTTGATTCATTGATAAAATATTATGGGCGCCCGTAGAAATATAGGGGGAGGGAGTCAAAAATCTCTGACAATGCAGCACATACTATTTGTGATTTAACATCATTTATATTGACTAAAAAATCTGGTGGCATAGCCTCCCTTCACCCCTAAAATAATTCTTTCACTAATTAAAGAACAAAGTGAAAAAAGAACAATGTCAAAAATTACAAGATATAACAACTATAATTCAAGACTTATTAACGGTTAAATCATCTTACTTAATTTTGTTTGATTTCATTTATTTTGTAGAAAAATTATACTTTATAGTTATCTACATTATACGAGTGGGAGTAGTGGGACCCTTAAGACTTTTATGAATAGTCTTCCCAATTGTATTGCTTATTCTATGTAGTGTATATGAATATTTTTCGTATTGGGATTACATACCTATTAACATCTGTTTGTCCGAAGGCCGACACGGTGAATGCCAAACACCAGAGTAACGTTACACACATGTTCGGTTTCATTCTGTGAAAAAATAAAATATATATATAATAAACAATTGTATTCAAATAAAACATGGCGATGACAACAATTCGTTGATAAAAAAGCTCGACTATTAAACCGATTGTCGTGCCAATCTGCCCTCGCAGAACACACGATAACAATAGAATAATTATAAGGATAGTAATTATGGCATCGCGCTTATCAGAGATTACTTATCATTCAGCTAAAATCTGCAAGGTAAATGGCGTCCAAGGCTAGATATATGTYCAAACCTATATAGTATGAAAACCTACCCACAACCATATACAATTTTAGCATGTCCTATTTTACATTACTTTTTTTCTAATTTCAATTATGGTTAAGTATTTTAAAATATGACAAAATATATACTTATAAGTTATAAGATGTAACTTGAGCCTTTAAGTTTAAGGTTTAAGCAATGATTGTACGCGCAAGACACATTTTTAAAGTGTATATTCGAAGTTGAAATATTTTCCATATAATTTATATTACACCCATCAAGCCGCAGCTTACACTTAAAATAAACCTTATTGTATTTTATACTATTACATGTATTATACTAAATAAATATCATCAATACATGTATACAATATACATGCATACTAAATTATATGATACAAACAATATAAATATTGCGAGATTAAAGTAAAGTAGCATCTTGCATTTATTTTAAAATGAAATGCAGCAGCTTCTGCAAATAATATATATTTAATTTAATATTAATTAGGTATCATTATAATCATTAATCACGTAAATATCACGTAGGAAGGGAACACCGTAGCCTACGGAACGTTTTTAGATGTATCCTGTCACCGAGTCCCAAGAACCTTCGTGCCAGTCGAGTTAACTATTTTTTGTCAATAATTAAGAAGTATTAAGTACGCGTTTCATTTTAAATATTTTGAACTTATAATAGACATTACAACTCTACTCCAATATAGAAGTATTTCATAATCTATTAATAATTTAATTTCATGTAATTTATATACTATAGATATACCTAGTAGAGGTATCTAACTTCGATAGTTTATCGATCAGACACGCAACACACACAAGCACAGTATAATAGTAATAATGATATGTAAAAAAACACAAAAATCCGAACTAGCTGCGAGTAATATTATATCACAGATATTACTTGTGGTAAAGCAACTACATATTTTATCATACATCATAGCTCCAACTTSAATATGCTACATACGGACAGATGCATTTGGACAATAATCATTTTATTATTTTTATTCCGTGCGAGCTGGCTTACACGGGATTCATGGTCTAGTTGAGTAGAAAATTTACTGTGGGAAAAAGGATATGCTGTAACCCCCAGCGAACGATGAGATGACTAGGTGATAAAATATGTATTTATTTTTTCACCCAGCACGGACGAAAATGTCGATAGTTTTATCGCTTTCGCATTATTTTATTATTACTTTTTTTCATTGAAACGGTGAATGAAATAAAAGTGAAAAAAAAACGAAAGGAAAAAAAGACAAACATAATTGTCGAGTTTCACATTGTAGGACGAGTGTTAGATTTCGAGCGTGGTGTATATTTTTTTGCCACCTAGGCGGGAAGTAAAATATTTCTTTTAAACTGTGAAATCTCGAAATCTAAATTTGATCGGCAAATTGAACCATTTAAGTACAGATTTAGGAGGTGCAATTAAAGAGTTTGTTAAATGAAAATATCATAAAACTAAAACGGGGAACAAAATGTATATTATTCGATAAAAGTTTAAGTCCAGCCCGATATTTTATTATATGCTAAAAATCAATAGAGAGTATAAAAATTTTTGTCGCTACTGTCAACCGTTTTGCTACTGCCACGGAAGCGTACTCGGAAGTGGAACGATATTATTGAACTGCATCCCGCGATTACTTATGCTAGTCGTTTGCACTGTGAGGTTCATCGGAGGTTGTGCGGAATATTCATCGTCATCGATTCCGTGTGACCCGAACCCGTGAACAAAAAACAACAATTATATCTCGACTCCTGACTACGGCGGTTCATATATTTGTTTTTTTGCACATTTCATAATGATATGTTATTTAATTAGGTACTATCACTCGAATGTCGACGCCGTTTCATGGAAAATATTAGTTTGACTCCCAGCAAAACATTATATCAACAGTTAAATTTTTTATTTCTCAGTATACGTACCTATAGTACCTATACACTCTTTTATGTACCTACTAAAATGAGTTAAATGTAGTATATTCTGTATATATATATACTCTCACTAAACATATAAACTCTTTTGAATATGGTGTTAATAATAATAATAATGATAAAAAATGTCATTCTTAAATTGAATGTCTTGCGCATACATAAAGTTATATTCTTTACCCATTCGTGTTACAACCTTTGCCATATGGGTTCATGTGGATAATCCAATGTAGGATTGAGTGAAGATAAGCTAATAAAGTGTAGGTGACAAAAGCAAATTGATTTTTTTTCATACAAAATATTTATTTAAACTACGCTATGATTTGTGTATAAAACACTTAAATCACAAATTCACTACTTAGCCACTAAAACCTGCTTGTAGGTAGGTATGTTTGTTTTAATAACTATATGACTGAATTCTCCATGTGGTTTCAAAAGAAAATGGTGTCACGATTCGCGACTATTATTATAATTTAAAGTAGGTGCAATTAAAGAGATGAAAGTTTCACTAATGAGTTTTCTAAAGGCAACATGCTGTTGCTAAATACAACTATTATGCTGACTATGAAAAACTTGTGTAGGTTTATTATACTAAAAAAATATATATATGAAATACACTATTCAAATAACAAACAACCCGAAAGTAAGAACTGACACACCGTACGCTATGGTATAACTATTATCAATAACTAAATAAAAATAGTTAATAAAAAATAAATAATTTTCCATCATTAGAATTATTATCTGTACAGACATTGCACTTGTGTTGATACCTAACTTGATTTTTGGACGAATATAGGTGGGCTATATTGTGGACTGTGCTGGCATCGCATTAATTAAACACATACGTAACGTAACTTTGTCCAAACTTTCCATCAATTTCTAGAAGTACAAATTGTTGTTAATATTATATTTTTTTTAGATTTAGACACGATCACGATTGAGCGGTTTTTTATTATAGTTAAGAACCAGACGCCCATGTAAATATTACGATTAAAATAATAGTACACTGCAATAAAGTAATGTTGTAGCAAATATATTTTAAAATATTATCACCATTATTATTATTACAATAGTTAATTTAATTATTATATTTGGCGTAAGCAAACAATGAACATCGGACGAGAAACGCTCGACGAAAAACGCTAGTCCTACAATCAATGTTTACTCGGCGGAAGTCATTAAAATTAATATTATTATGCAAATATCAATGACAATAGATAAGTAGCTAGATAATTAAAGGATATCACCTACCCAATTATCCAGCTGAGTAATTACATATAGTGCACGTAAATCATCGCTTTGAATTATTTCATGGAATACTTTAACGCATCGTAGTAAATTTGTTTATATCATATTCCTTGTTAACCAGAAGTGAATAAAACATAAAAATATAAAATATAAAACAAAAGGCAATATTTAAAAATAATATTTTATTGTATCTACATGAACGCAACATGAACGTTTAAAATGCAAATATCGTAAGTGAATGTGCATGACACATGTCTAACGCACACAATTATTCAAAAATTTTCAGCCTCCAATTTAATACCTATAATTGAAATTGCATGTAATATTATATGCATGTACATTTAAAACTTATAACTATGAACTTCAAGAGACCAAAGGTATGATATATGTTTTTTTTTGGAATTCTCATTCTAGATAAGTGATGATTAATTTTAAATATGTATATGCACTACAATAATATATAATTACAATAATTGGTGAGTAATTGAGAGAATTTAAAATGTACAAATTTGTATAAATAAGTTATAATATATTATATATTATACAAATAAAAATTACTATAGGTAAGTATGCGTAAAAAAAAATATTTTTCTTTTTATAATCCCTCTCTGTCTCTTATGATTATTTATAATTATAGTTGATAAAGACTTTAATTTTCTAATTATTTTATTATTGTACATGTTTTTTCACATTTATTGAATCTCTATATTTCACAAGAAATCAATAAATAGGTAGGAGGAATACAATGGTAGTTTCTATTCGAGTTATTCCACGCGGAAATGTGCATTGAAGCGAACTTTAAATTTATTTTTATTGATTTAATGAAAGGTAAGAAAACATTTAACAGTACATTTATATTGACAAACTTATTATTTTTCCTATAATTATATTTTATTTTGTTTTGTTTTTTTTTTTTTTTTAATGAACCTACCTAATTTACTAAGATTGACAAACTTTTAAGGAATCTTGTATTAAATTTTCAAATCTTAGATTTAAAAAGAAAATTTTTATGAATTTCTAACTTAAACAAGCTTTTAACAATGTGTACAAACGAGCAGTGTTTGCATCTGAGCAAAGACGATTGCTGTTAATCTAATTTATAATATTAATCTTTACTGTTAACGTCAAAAACCGTAACTATTTGGCAAGTTAAAAATGTATTACAATAAAACTTGGTTGGTTCTCAATCTAATCGGTTCCTTCTCTAAAATTGTAAATAAATTATAAAACCTAAATAAACGATAAACAAGTTTTTAATAGAAATTTCTAGTACCTATATTTATGTCTTGACAAAATATCTATAAAAAAAATCAAACAACTTTACACTCACCATATAAATGTTATGTTATATTTTTTGACCGCTTTAGTTGTCCTATTAAATTTTATCGATCTTTCCACTAGGTATCTCACAATAACGGTGAAAACCATAACAGTCTTACATCAGTTATTCCTACATGACCACATTTCTGATGAAACGTGACATTATTATAGAAAAGTTTGTAATTACGGAATTATGATATTCATATCATGATAGGTTATTAAATAACAGAAAAATTACACTATCGATAATATTGAAAATAATA